ATTCATATTAAAACTTGGTAAAATTGTATTGGTTCTTTTCATATTCACGAATCATCAAAACAAGTAGGATGAATGACTGATAGAACGTTGTATAGTATGAGGTTTTATTCTCAACACTGTTATAGGTTGAGAATTGAGTACCGCTCAAGCCGGTGCTAAGGGCGTGAGGGACATTGCACTTATTCATAATCACTCACGTACAGACTCAATCAAACCGAGTCTGCAATTCTGATGTAATTTTGTTGCGATTAATGCTTCCGAGGGATCACTTTGTTTCCAGATTTTTTAACGTATAAACCATGTTTTCTCCTTTATGGTAGTTGGTGGCTCCGGAACTGCAAATAGCGACGACTCTCATCACAAAATACCGGACGATGATCAACTTTCCCTTGACGATCTGACTCCACCGGAACAATTACAAGAACAACATACAAGTCCTACACCCAAAGAGCCAAAGAAGACAGGTGATCAATTTGAGAAGAAGTTCTACGGCCGAATCCCATTACCACCTGTGTCTGATACCCAAGTGAGCTACGATAAGGAAACACCTGAAAAGCCGTACACAGACAAGGAACGAAGACATCTGAAAAATACTGTGAATACATACTCTCCTGTTTTAAAAAATGATTGATTTATATGAATTTGACCTATAATTTTGAAAAACATGAATGACTTAAACACACAATGCAGTGTACTTTACTATCACCAGAGACAAAACATCATTTATTTAAGCATGCTGTTTGGTAATGTTACGTTCCGTTCCGTTTATTCTTTTAATGTTACAATGTCTGGTATCAACTTTGATTTTTGCAATGTTAAAACCTTCTTGAACGTATGCAATTTTCAACACATTACAACTTTTGTAATAACTTATTTTAATGTGCGTTTTAATTTGTACGTTCAGCTTTCGCTTATTAATAGCCAATTTAAATGTTTTGTTTTGTAAAATTGAAAAATTAATATTTGTTAAAAACCTATTTCAGATTGAGTCATACAGGTAGATGGTACAAATTGCAAGTCTTCACTTCCTTAAAGGAGTTTTCCCATCTTATTTCACTTTTGAACAATCAACTTACTGTTTTAAGCAAAAGGAATTTTTAGTGTTAAAATTTTAGTCATTAATTGATAATGTTTGAAATTTGTTTGATTATATGTAACATAACGATGTGTAATTCACGTTGAGCAGTTGTATAAAACATCTTGTCATGTTTTACTTTTATAATTTCAACAAGATTAGGTACATTATATCTCGTATTAATGCAAATGGTATTATGAACCCTTACATTGCCGCTGTAAGTTGAATGAAACAAGGACTGATAAGTGATTACGAAGAGTCAACATCATAATATAACTATCAATAAGCCCGAGAATCGTTCAGAGTATAATCAGACTAAAAAGTCACTTTATGTGCTATATTTATCTGGTCCTTTGTGATCATTGATTCCAATTTATTATTGTGTTGACATGGTTGGTTGAAGATTGAATACTGGTTAAGTCAGTCCTAGCGTGCATCACCGTGAATCTGCAATTTTCAATGCTAGAATTTGATATCATTGTTTTCGAGAGATCTCATATTCTCGATATTTTTAAACTGTTGCATTATGTTTGTTTTGTCACTGCTAGCACTTCATAGATATCATACTCAGTAAGATATTATTATCCAAATTCTACCAATTAAAGACATGTTCCGATATATTTTAGGTTGCATTAATATGTTTACTGATGATAAAACACAACAAAAAATACTATTTGTTTATTTCCTTCCATTAACCAAATACAGAATATCTTGAGAAACATGTACTCTTCATTTTGTGCTGAGGAAAGATAAGATAACTCCATTTTGTATTATTTCTATTTTCATAGTATATTATTTATTGTACTTCTGTGCATGTGTGTTATGTATTAATAATTGATATGAGCTTTAATTTATTAACTTGTTCTCACTTGATTTTTATGATGTCATAAAATATTCTGACTGTTCATTCTGTAATTCATCAATACTCAGTTGCAAAAAGTGTGCATTTGTTTAATTGGAAGTTTTGTATATATACTTACTGGAACAAAATAAAGGCAATTTTGATATTACAATTTGTAGAAATGTATTGACCACACAATGGTTTACTTGAAATTCTATGATTGCCAGAATTGTAACGGCGTTTTAATTGTAAGACGAAAAACTGAAGTGCTGAATTATGACTATTTAACGTTTTATTTGTCTAACTACGTGGTATGAAATTTGGTTTGAATTATATTATGTTAATGTTTAAAAATAAAGTATCCAAAGCCATTTACAGAAAGCTTAATTCTGTAGGTTTCTGTTTTTTTTTGTGTGGTTTTTCTGGTGTTTTTTTTTTGTAGCTTTTTTTACTCCCTCAGTTGTTTACACGTAATCAAAGTTCTGATAATAATATAAAATCTATTACACGTAAAACCATCGTGCAGTCAATACATTCCTGTTAATTTTGATACCAAATGCCAATAATTTTAAAATAGTAAACAAAATTTTCCTGTATTCAAGTTAACACTTGCAACTGAGTATGTTTGTGACGCATCATTTCTTTCAGCTTGCAGGCTATATGTGGCTGTGTAAAATATACATGTGAAGTTAAAACAAATGCAACTGTTTGTCCAGTTCTATTTGAGACTTTTAAAAATTAATTCAAATGTTTTAAATGTGACACTTCTAGCAATTACTCTTTTTGAAGATGATTTGTTAAAATAACTTACATATCTATAATAAGTTCGTATATCTATGTCGAAGTAAGTTGTAATGACAGTTATTTACAAATCTACTCGTATAGATGTATAATAGGCGATGATTCAACATGATACGTTGTATAAAGACCAAAGAGGGAAGCTGTCACCAGTAAAACATTTATTTTCTACGCTTTATTGAGTTTTTTGGACACGAAGAGGATGTAAAACTATGTATCAGGCATTACTTTAAAACGACATGTTGTTATCTATGCGTTTTTGCACATGTTTTGAATCATTAAAAATTTTTTTTTTTGGAAAGCATGCAATTATGTTTATTTGTTTATTGCATTCTTGTGATCCAATGCGTAGTCTCCATTTGCCTTTCTACAGAGGCGATAGTTAAGGTGTTTCCATTAAAATTGCACAAACTTCTTCAAAGTGATATCCTTCAATATCTTTTAATGTCGTTTGCGTATCTTAATAACAGATACTGATTTTTGTTTAAACCGCATATTAATTTTCGGTTGATGAGAGGAAAATCTAACTTAAAATGTTAGCCTGTAAATGAAGATATAGTTTCAGATAAGTCTTTTTTTAGCAACCCGTTTAATCGTTTTGGCTGTTTGTTTACGCCGATTTTCACACGTTTCTGGTCATACTTCGGTGGTCGATACCCTAGCTGCTGGATAAATTCCCATTAATTACCAATTTCTCCGTTAGTGACCAAATTCTTATCCCACATGATTTCTGAAACAGCCTATTGGTAATTCGATTCAATGCCCGTGATTACACAATTGGTGATTTCTCTATTTTATTATTTAGTATTATGCATCCCAAGAAGAATCTACTTTCTACTGTTTATGTAATCTTAAATTCTTAAATACGTGCATGTTTACATAATGTTTAGAGATATGTACTCCTGTTTTCTTTTGCCCTTGCACTGTACAATTCACGTATGAATGAAACCTTAGAATGTGACTCTTGTCTTAACATAAATATTTGAAATATTTTAATGCTTATTAAATCAATAACGAACATATAGAATGATTGATTTGGTTAGCCAGAGGCAGGATTTTGATAACTTATGATTTGTTTTTTGTCTTTAAGGCACTATTTCTCTTTAATTAACAAATTAACATGTAAAGTTAACAAAGTTCAGTGGCAATAATTCTCTTAAATCTTTGTAAACATTTAAAACTAAGATGTTTTAGAATTGAATAATATTTTCTTTATCTAAATCAACAATGCTTTCTTCAAACGTCAGTTATAATATAGGCCTGTGATTTTATACATGTGTATTATCACCTATTTTAAGTTAGTCAAACATAAATATTTCTTAAATATCACAGTTATTCTATGATGTTATCGTAGAAATAAAAGGAAAATTGAAAGACAATAACTGTTTATATAGTTTATTTTTACAATACAACAATACGGTATTCAGGACCAGTTTTGCAAAGCTTCACATAAATAGAGAAACATTTTGAGGGAGGGCATTGTTCCTTGAGATATTTTTGATACAATCATATAAAAGTATTATATGATAAAAAATTAAGATGGGTTTGCCTAAAGAGAAGTTTTAAATAAATATTTTTATTAAAGAAACGAATACTTATTATCAATCATGACATTTATCTATACATCTACTATTAACAGTTATCACATGCAACCAATTTCATTGTTTCTTGTTAAAAACAAGATCTTAAATGTTTATTGCATGAATTGTCTCAAATTTTCCGTTATCAAATAAGAGTAACAAAAGCCACAAAATATACCAAACACTATCAACAAGGAAAGGCAGCGTTCAATGAACGCAAACCCCACAAGCCAGGTTCAAATGAGTCCCTTTTTTGCAGTGGCTGGACGGCCACGTTGCAGAAACATACTAATTCAGAAAAAAGCAAACTATCCTTCTAATAGACGATAAACTATGGCGTTCTTTGTTTGAAGCGAAACATCTTGTTTGCCATTCTTTTTCTGAAGAAGAAGTTCGAAACATCTGTAAATAAATTTGAAAACTTTTCGAACGTATGCATTTCATACTACTATAAATATTCTGTGTATATTTTTCATCTACTGCTCCATGGGCATTTATACATATTTGTAAAGCAAGAAATATTACATTATCAACAGTATATCCAAAAAGGTACAGTTTAGCAACCTTAGCCGCTGTAGGTTCGAATTCCGACAGGGACTTTGGATTCTTTCACGTAAGGAAACTATCCAGCTAGCTGACGGAACGTTGCCGGTTCTAGTCAGGTACCTGTAAGTGCCTGAAATAATGTACGGAAGGGCAAACTTACCTTATACAACCACGTCTTGCGTGAATTTCTTAGATACCTTTTTTATTCGTTGTTCTCCCATTGCCTTTTTAACCTTTCAATAGAATGAATTTATATGAAATATATCTCATTACCATCATTAATACAGAGTTATAAAAATACTTTATATAATGCATTACATCCCAGAATAGTTGATTCATTATTTTCTGTGATTAATGATTAATAAAAATATATAATAATGTTCAAATAACAAGCTAATGTAGACTTTATTGGATACTTAAAGGCTAAATTCATGGGTATATAAAATAAGAGCACTGCTAGGCGGAACATTATAAAAGTGATTGTTTTAGTAAAAATGAAGCATTTGTAAGACATGGGAATTAAATAAAGTATTACCTCCTCCAAATAACAATCCTCCTATGAAGTTTGAATATTGTAGGCCAAATGGAAATTAAGTAATGCTCAAGAAACTGTTTTCAGTTTTAATGTAATAGTGACCTTTACATTTGACCTTGTGACCCCAAAATCAAAAGGGGTCTTCTACCCAATATGGACACTCATACTATGAAGTTTGAACACTGTGTGGCAAATGGAACTTAAGTAATATTCCGGAAACTGTTTTCAGTTTTTGAGGTAATAGTGACCTTGACCTTTGACCTCGTGACCCAAAAATCAATAGTGGTCTTCTACCCAATTTGGACAATCATCCTATGAAGTTTGAATATTGTGAGCCAAATGGAACTAAAGTTATGCTCCGGAAACTTTTTTCAATTTCTAAGTAATAGTGACCTTGACATTTGACCTTGTGACGCAAAATCAATATGGGTCTTCTACCCAATATGGAAAATCATCTTATGAAGTTTGAACACTGTGGGCCAAATGGAACTTAAGTTATGCTCCGGAAACAGTTTTCAATTTTAAGGTAAAAGTGACCTTGACCTTTGACCTTGTGACCCCAAAATCAATAGAGGTCTTCTACCCAATATGGACAATCATTCTATGAAGTTTGAACACTGTGGGCCAAATGGAACTTAAGTTATGCTTCGGAAACCAAATTGCTAACTGAAGGACGGACGCCAGGGGCTATAACATAATATGCCCGAAAATTTTTTGGGCATATAAAAACAAGAACGGTGACCCGCTGTTTCGCTTAAGCGAACTTTGCTTTTATAAAGGTTACAAATTTAAATATGTTGTTTCAAGATAAAGCGTTTGATATAAATAATTAAGGTATAAGTCGATAAGATACATAAGCCCTCGATAACTACAAGTATAATCTACCGGTCCGTCTGTATGTAAGCTAGTGAAGCGGACGATACGTTTCCCAATCAACAAAAGTCACTGCGCTCTATATATAGCTCACGGGCCGCTGTTCTGAAGAAGGCTAAACAATGATATGATGCACTTTTACTATGTTATATTACTGAAATACTTACTCGAAAAAGCACATAATTGTTTTATCATCATATTCTAAAACCAGGCAAAGTTTAAATATATAAGTAATAGTATTAGTTTTAATACTATGTAACCCGTGTATACGTTTTTATCAATATTACATTAAAATACATGAGCAATATAGTGATCTATTGACATACTTACCTGTCTATTAAGGGCACAATGAAATAGGAAAATAAAAAATCCCTGAAACAAAATAAATAAGACGGTTGTACGATCGATGTTGAATACTATAGACCTTTATTTATAAAACATTTCCTTAGAAACCGAAGTAATATTTTGCACATGGGTATTCTGCGGGAGTAACAATTTAATGACCCAAAAGCGCATACATACGATGGGTGTTCCAAAATTAATGCTACTTTGTGTTTTCTCTTTGATATAAGTCGTTAAGATCATTTTAACTCTCCCTGTACCTCAAAGTACTCCCCCTCTACCCTAACGCATGTTTCAGCCGATCAATCCCCTTTTTGAAACAGTTTTCGTACTCTTCAATGGGTATACTCATAAGATACTGGTAAATGACAGAGCCCAAGGCATATCTTAATTTGTATTTTTTTTTCAGGGCAGGTGAAATATTTTAGTTTGTGGAACAAGAAATAGTCACAGGGGGCTAGGTCTGGTGATAAAGCGGGATGGGGGAGGACAGTGACCTTTTCCGCCTTTAAAAACTCCGTTAAAAATGCGTGCCTTGTGAGCTTGCGCATTGTCATGCAAGAGTCTGAGGTACTTCAAACCTGTTGGTGGACGGCGGCGTTTATAGCGAAGTACAACGTCTCTATAGTACTTGCCTGAGACAGTTCTACCTTTCGGCACAGGAATTTGCACGACTGGGCCCTTATTACCATAGAATAGTACATACAAAACCTTCCACGTGGTTCGTATTCTTTTAGCAATGCTAGGGCGCAGTGCTGTTTATGTGGCCTAGATTTGATTAGAGCATTAATTTCGTTTGGGTTCGATAAAATACACCCATGTCCCGATTTAAATCGACCAATCCACCTACAAATAATCATATACGATATTTGACCCTCCCAATACATAATACACACCTCGCGATGAATATCATTCGGCTTTAAGCCAAGAAGTAGAGACCTACCTTTGATATAGGGGCCTAATTTCAATCACGATTAAGCTCTCTGTCCAACCATATTTGTATGAGTGTAACGAGTACGCTTCTAAACAATGTTTTACAGTACCAAGTTAGTGCAATTGTGAGCGAAATATTGACCAATTCTACTCTCCAGGTATCACGCTATCGACATGTATTAGTTTTGAGTTAATATAGCCCGATTTCCACAAGATAGAACATGAGTAACATTAATTTTGGAACACCCCTCTGTCCCCTGTTTGAAGCATCATTACACTACTTTGTCATCAGTAATTAAAATCGAAACAGAATTGTATTTAAGATAAGATTTTATGTACTTTACTAAATATTAAACAATTGGTACTGTACACTTCCTTCGATTATGTTGATTAGCAAGGTGGCAAGTGTCAAACAGTAGACAATGTTGCATACATTTACCTAGATTATGAAAATATGTTAACATAAACTGGATAAAAATGTAGGGGAAATGTACTTTCTCAAACCTTTGTAAAATACCTTTAACGAAATTTGTCTTATAAGGTGTAAGACGTATCTATTTATCATTTGTAAAAAACGTCAAATCCTACCTGTAGTCCATTTAAAATTGCAAATATGTACTGAAGGAATTCCGAGTTACCATCAATGTAAAACACCTCGACGATCCAGGTAATACCAAGGAGTGGAAGCAATACGCATAGTGCCCAAATGCTTGTTCTAAACACGATTATTATACATTTAATAACTCTTAAATTAAACAAGTACGTAAAGGCTCTAGGATTCTAAGGAAGAATTGACAACTGTGTTTTTAATATCTCTATATTTTTTATTGAATTTAATGCCTTACAGAAAAAATCAAATTAATATATTTAACGAAATGTCAATATGACTGTATATCAATGTATTAATATAAACTGTATTTTACTATCAGAAATGTGCTTAACCTTATAAGCATAAAACAACAACAACAACAACATCAACAACAAACAATTTAGATTTGATAAAATTACATGATTCAAGAAGTTCAATGAACATAAAACAACACAACAAAACAGCAACAAACAAACAAACCCAAAGTAACATACTTACTTTACTCGTTTCCCAACAGGTTTTGTCTGCATGGCTCTTGTACGAAATATAGCACGTATAACCAGACATAGACATATTGCATTGAACTTAAACAATAAATATTTAGTTTATTATTTTTAATTATTTGTTAATTATCTTTACGGTGAGAAATAAAACAAACAAAATAAAAATGCCACATTCAATCTTATATATTTTAACAACATATACATAATGCATCGAGGTGGAAAATCATGTTTACATACATTATAATTGTAAAACGCATTCATCTTTATAAATTTTCTTTTAAACATTACTATTTTTCGGTTTTACAAAGTAAAGGAATAAAAAACACGTGTAAAGAATTCTTACAGAGATGACAGCAATTGCTGGACCCACAAATGACCAGATCAACCAATTATCTGACGTTAACCAGCATCTAAAATGGTCGAAAAAAGACTACCTAAAGTATAAAAATATGGCAGTTATCAATAGATGAATAAGATGCATTCTTATGTAAAATTATATCCTCTAAAGCTACAAGGAAATGGAGAAAGACATACATTAAAAATCATTGGCCAGAAAATGCAATATATGAGAACAACATCAAGTCAAATATTTCAACAGAAAAAAAGCTTTTGCTGGCAATAAAATGTATCAATGTTGCTTAATTGAAACAATATGACAAGAACATTAATTTTGCTTACAACTTCTTGTTCCCGTAGCCTTTAAGCTTTGACAAAGCAATTGAAATGCCAACAATAAAAGCTGGTAAACCTGAAAGATAGAAAATCATTCTTCTCAATGTTCTTGTTCGTTCTGATCAAGTTAAAAATTAAATAAAATGTTTTCAGTTCAAATAACACATACACACATTAATATTTAAAAGACAGAAAATTTAAACCTACTCCATGCCATGACCAGAAGAATTTTCAAATTCAACCTTGTCTTGAAGACGTATTGTACTGCTATGACAATTTGGAGTCCTTGTAGAAACATTATACCAAAGACTACCAGAAAAATGTAATGCAAAAATACCGCTATAGCCGTACAAAGTTTCTGAAATACAGAAAATTAATCATTTTAACAACTATAATGCCGATTTAAAAAACAAACCATAACAATCAACCATGTACCAGTCATAAGCCATTCACTATTATAACGCTAGAAGACAAATCGAATGAATGTTAACTTAAGTTTTATATTGGTTATATTTCATTATCAAATACAAACTTTTTTCAATCTTATTAACCCCTTCGCTATTTTCAAATTTTATTACCACGAATGTACATATTTCATATTTTGTATTAATCAGGAATATAATGAAATGAAACCTACTTGATGTTCTGTTTTGTTGATACCAATTAGAAATACAAGGTAGGCCACAATTAAACATACACATAAGTGTATCATCACAGTTGTTCTCTGGCTTCTTAACCGCCTACAAACAAGTTTTTATTATTTAGCAGAATAAACGGTTGTATATTAAAATGTCTGTTACATCATATTATATAAAATTGTCACAATCGTGTCGTCAATACTTCCTTTTATCATAAAATGATACAAATTAAAATAATATACTTATAATTAATGTTTACTTGCTTAATGTAGTACATTAAACTAGTCAACTTTTAGCAATACGATACATCAGCAAAGCTGAGATATAGTATAATTTTTATGTGCTGAATATTTGGGTTTTTTTTTATTAATTTATGAATTATTATATTGATGTTTATACATGTTTAACATGGTAAAGTGCTGAATAATTGTTATTTTTCGTAATTCAATCATTTGTCAAATTAGGAGAGTTTAGGTATATTTTTAAAATAAACATCTATTCCGAACGACAGTAAAATAATGGAACATGTATTGCAAATTGTTAAAAACTTAAGTGGCTCATCTGTTGGCAATGCCTTTTGTAACTTAACAATTCTATATAATGTTTTTGTTATAGTGGCATCAATGTTATTTCTAATTCTAACATGACCCCATTGAACATAGAAGAACCGAAAGTGTGTGTAACCACAGTTTGGCGTTCTATATTTAGACAGGTGGCGTAATCATTATGCACGTGACGTAACCACTAAAATGTGACGCGCTAAGTACGGAAACAAATCAGGCGCAATTTATGTTAATATCAGGTACGGCAGCATTAATGTGTTGGTATCGTGTTAGAATCGAAATAATATATCCAAATCCGTGATTTGATGATTTGATCGATTGATAACATCACTGTCGTTCGGACGACCTTAATTATATCACTCGGGCTACGCCCTCGTGATATAATTCCTCGCATCCGAACTCCAAACAGTGATGTTATTGAGCGATAAAATCACTGTTTGGGATATATTATTTCTTACGTAAACTTACTTCCAGAAGGTAAAGTGTAGAACGATGGTTGCAACCAAACAAAGTGTAGATAAAGATAGACAGACCATTGAAATTATGCGAAGATCCCAAGCCGATTCTTCAGTCTGAAATAGTTTATTTATTCCGTTTACTTTTTTCTAGATTCTGTCCAGGTTTTGTCCAGGCAATATACGAGTTATTTTGACCAAATTATATTAACGAAAGACATTTAAACGTTTATATCTTATCTATGAAAATAGCTGCAAAAATCAGAGTTTGAAAAGGTAAAAAGGCACCAACTATGAAATACAGTGGCGAAGTGATAGTGTGGTTAATTAGTAATCTGATGTTTGCAGGTCGCTTGGGTTCAAACCCAGTCAGGACAAGCCATTGTTTCCATGAGCAAGAAACGTAAAACTTATTGTCTGGTATTGGTTGGTTCCATGAGAGGATTCAAGCATATTTCAATACGTTTATAACTTCCAACACAAACACGCTAAAATAAAATCGAATAAACAAAGTAATAATAGTGAAATGTGGAAACTTGAAGATATTGATTTAAGCCTTAATTCTAGTTATTTTTTTCTCCAAACCTAATCATAGCCTTTTCTTTATTAAATACGAAAACAAGACATAAATTAAATCCTGATTTTAACATTTCATAGTAAAACAGTTCTAGAAAAAATATTCCAGGGATTACATTTGAAAATTTTGTAACTTTTAGTCCCAGTTTAGGTATTAAGCGACTCTCAGAAGCGCATTGCGTTATTTCTTACAAATTTATTGTAAATAGAAACACTCTACCTGTTTGATAGGGCTCATCAATACAGCAAAATTTGTCAGATGTTCACATTCACAAACTGTGACGTCATTGCTAGTTGAAATAAGCTCACATCCATCGTCTGACCATATACCCTGGGATTCACTGATAAATATAATCTTACATAATTATGTACAAATCAAGTGTCAGCGATATACAGCTTAATGAGTTTATACATGTATTTAAATAAAAACACTGAATTACTAAAAATAAACGAATTTTTAAATTCGGACTTACAAGATATTAGAGTTTTAATCAGTTAAGTATCAGTCAACTGTTAAATTCAATAAAATGTTTAAGCGGTATTTAAAAATGAAGAAGAAGAAAAACAGAAACAAACAAACTTATTTTGAAATGTTCTTAGTTTTTCTTAGTTTGATAAAATGACTTCACAGACAATCGAATGCTCTTGCTATTACTTTTTATCAAAACATTTAATGTACAATTTATTCATTGGAATAAATGCCACTATTTTACTTATGCCACTATTTTTCCGTATATTTACATTTAATAGATAAAATGTTTCTGTTAATTGTACATAATTTAGAGACGCACACGTCAGTCGTCTGATACATATCAAGCTTTCCGGTGGTTAGAACAAAATATAGATTATTATATAGCTAGTTAGCTTATTGAATTTACTTTTTACAATATAATACCTTTCCTTTTGCCAATAAACGCATATTGGAGATGATAGCGTCTTCTGAAATATGATTAAGACATGGCATAAATGTATCACTGAGGAATACATTTTTAACAAGATTATTTGTAATCCAAAAAGTTTATTTCTTATGAGAAAATCTTTAAAAGGATTACTAAAATCGTTTATTCAATTATGTCTGAAATATTTTTAATTAAACCATTAAAAATGAAAGACTAGATATGCCACGTTTTGCCGCTTTGAATAGTACTATACACATGCATTTTGTCAGGTATAACTCACATCAAAATGCTCAAATGTAATGGAAATCGGAGGATTTAACTGCCTTGCTGAATATTCAGACGGTATCGTCATTGCAAGTATTGCTCCATTTATTCTGTTTTTCTCTGACGAACCTTTACCTGCACTATATATGTGTGTATAATATTAATATAAAGCATATTATATATTATTATAAAATATATCTTACTATCTATCACATTCTACAGGAAAGTCAATTTCTTTAATTTCTATAATATCTGATATCAAATACATGATTATTTTTCATACTTTCGTACACTCTTAAAGATATACTATGCTTATCCTTTAGTGAAATATTTCTATCATAGAAATTTATTAAAATTTATGAAATTCTTATTGAATATGTCTACTTTGGATAAAAGAATGAATAAACTATGAATGGGAAGCTGCGTTCCCTATTACAGGTCAAGAAATATTGGTCTTTTCTTTAAAATACTGTCAGCTTTTTAATGGCACTATATTCTTATTATGACCACCTATAGTGTAAAGAGTTTAAAACATAACACATCTACTTTGTATCAATACAAAACATGTTTATTGTATATTTATAATAAGACTGTGTATCCATTGTCAATATTTTCTAATATCAAATTTGAGCAAAGTATATCTTTGAATATTTAATTGTATAAACACATAAAGGCTACAAAGGTTTTGATTGGATTAAGCATGGCTATTAGTAATTATTATAATTATAATATTATTATAATTTTGTTAAAAAAGAATGATAGACGAATAAATTCAAAATATTGAAACATTAATATTTACACGTACTTTTTAGAATATGTATTTGGTAGAATGCCACTAAGGTTCCGGTATACAACTGCTGTAGCAATGACTTGATCTGTTACATCTACATGTACGTCATAATGGTTAGAACAAGGGCATCATTAATTTGAAATATGATAAACAAGATCAACAAGGATATGCGGCGTTCAATGAACGCAACCCTCACAAGACGATTTATGCGAAAGGACATTTTCTACGAGGATTGATCAAAAAGTTCTTGGCCCGATGTACTTCTTGTAGTCAGAGGACCCAACTAATGGTCTTACTTTTCAATAAAATCGCCCTCTACATTAATGCACTTTGCCCACATGTGCTCCAACTTGTTTAACCCTTTAAAATAGAACTCTATATTTTGGTCCTCAAAGAACTCATTGACCGCCTCCATGACACCTTCCTTCCAAAACTTCCTGAACTAAACTAAAACTCATAGCCACTTCCCTAGCAATGCTTCGCAGATCACGCCTTCTGTCCCTCATGACCAGATCGTGCACAAATTCGGCAGTTTCATCGTTGGTGGCAATGACGGCTCTGATTTCAGCTTTCTCCATTTGGTCTAAATGACACACCCCTCTACTGATCAAAGTGTGTTTTATATTACTTAATCTGTGTAAAACTGCGTGTAACTCGGTCAGTAATCTTCAATAAGTTATCGGTATCGACGAATTGTGTGTTAATGTTAGTAATGTGGCTAGAAGTATATCGGGCCGAGAACATTTTGATCATACCTCGTACATTTATATTCTGAATACTTAGAATATGTATCAAAGCTCGTAAACATTCAAGTATTAACCAGAATATGACATTAAAGATATTGTTTGTCAAATAATATGCTTTACATGCTTTACTCAGCCTGTATGAAAAGTATGTTAGTTTGTTAAATATTGTTTCTTGAAATCCAAAATGCATCTATCCAAGTACAATAAGACATGTATCTAATCATTTGATACGGTGACATTCTTGAACATAAAACTAAAAATTTGAAATATATAAAACTAACATTATACGAGTATAAACAAAATATTCAATAGTTAAATATGTTAATTATGACACACAAAGTATATTGTGTCACAAGATACGAATTTCAAGATATACAAAGTAATTCTAATTTTAATTTATTACCATTAAACGCTTGTGGCTGCAATTCTATTTTGCTGCTAATTGTGTTAAGCCATTCAATGTCCATGTTTTCGTCCGGATACACAATCTTGCTTTCTGCTAATGTTTGCGCCTGGAGCGCTGAAAAAAGTCGTTATTGATCAATATTTTTCTAATAAATTGTATCTATTTTCTTGTTTATTTTCTTATGCATGGTCCAATCAAAAAGCAATAACCTTGTTTACCATTGTACCCGGTATGTGTATTTCTAACATATGTTTTAATAGGTTCAGTCAGTACAGCGGCATCTTCTTGTTTTCTTTTTCTCCGAGTCCCTGAGTTGAGCTTGAGCTATGAATACATTATATACAAACGTGCTGGGACAAATTGAAGAACACAAACCGGTCTCAGAACTATACAGTTTGACCAAAAGAAAGAAAGACTGTCTGACAGATTATCGCTCGGCCTTAAGACACACACTCGTTGTGTTTCATTTAGTCTACCTGTACCTTCTTGTCTTATCCAGCGAGTCCCTGAGTCGAGCACGAGCCAGAAATATATTATACCGGCGAGTCCTGGAGGCTCTAACAAACCAAACAAGACCGGCTTATCACTGTGCGGCTCTTTTAAAAGAAACACGGACCGTCTAACGGACTGGTTTTTAATGGCCCGAGTATATGCACTAAAATTGTCGCAGTATCTTCTAATATTTCATTTACTGATTCCCTGAACCTAGCTTGAGAAAGAAATAAATAGTACTGGCGTGTTCAGACGTCTCTAACAAGTCGGAAAAGAACGCTCTAACCACAATGTGGCTTGGCTGAATGAAACTCGGAGCGTACTTATTTATTTTGAACCAAATGCATGCACTTTTTTTGTTTCACCCAGTCTTGTTTTCTACATTAATGATAATTCCATTAGTGAAATTAACAACTGTTAAAGAACTTAGGTTTTAAAAGCCTTAAATATGTTATAAGTGATATTAATTATTTATGTTGTAAAAAAAATAAATCATCCTTTAAATTTCCGACATTGTTGACGAGGTCATCTACTGTTTAACAAAGAGCTAGAAAAAAACTGTTTTATTCACACATGTAAGACAAGTCGCGTGTACGAAAAGACGTTATTAACGAATGAATTGTGTACTTATTTTTCCATTTTGAAAAAAGCTGTAAGAATCTACACGCTACTATATGATAAAAGTGCCATATGAAAATGTTTGTTTTCGTAATTTCTTTCCAAATTATGATTTACGACTTGTATGCAAGAAAATGGAATCAAACCTCGGCTATAGTTACAGAAGAGAATATCTGGCTCTCGGATAAGTGTTAAGAGGAAACTCGGCAGAGCCTCGCTACCGCTGAAAAACTAAAATCCTCGAGGTAGACATTCTGGTTTGTACAGGCAGCCAGTTTAAAATTCTTATAACCTGCAATAAAAACAAAATATCACGATGTTTCACGAACATTTGTTGTCCTGACAAGGGTAAATCAATTAAGCTGAAGTCAGTAAGATACATACCGATATTCGCATTTCTTATATTTCGTTTCTCGCCAGGTTGCAAATTTTCACTGAGTGTTTCAGCAATTTGATCTACAGCTGACACTAACTGAACTGCACTTGTACTCTCCTAAAACAAGATTGTCCTATAAATATGTACAACATATTTTGTTTTTTTACTATGAAACTTAGAAAAATAACAAAATGTTTGTAAACTTTGCCTTCTTTCAATGTAGACTACTTTCATAGATATGAATAGTTACGTTTTGTATCGCAAGGTTTAGAGGAAAACAATCATCATGAGTGAGTTTATGGCTTTTTGTAGAACAACTTTTTCATAGCAAAAGAATAATACTGCATTATAGTCTCGACACATCTAAAGAAGATAAAGATAATAGAGCCAGAGGTACCTGTTCTGATCGCCAGGTGTCACTGTTATTGTTGTCAATGATATTACCCACAGATTCAAAGAAACTCTGAAAGAACAAAACAAAACAAAAACATGCAAAAAGAGTTATTTCACATACGAGTGTTATCAAAGCTACTTTGCAATGTTATTCGACCATACGAAAATTGATTAAACGTATAATTTTATGTTTTAAAAGATTGAACGTGTAGTCGTTTAACTTAAAAAATGTACCAATTTTGCAGTATTTATCACCTTATTTTGTGCTCATTTCGGTCATTTATGTAGATTATAAATGTTGTTTGCAATGTGTAAATTACTCTCTTTGTTCAGTACACAATATTTTGCTTTTAAATACATTCTATAAATTTTCATGAAAATTAGCATGAATCTGGAGCCATGCTGTTATAAATTTTATAGTTTCAAATTTAAATCTTAAGCAAAACATTTCTTTCTTATATCATTTTACATGAAAAAGGAGTTGTTGAGATTATGGGACTTACATCTAAAATCGATTCATTAATCACTAACTGAGGTGGCAGTACAGTCGCAATTGTTTTCAATGACGTTGTAAGCAGTTTCATTTCTCCATTAGTTAACTTCTCAGTTGCATTTTCTCTTTGGACTGTTGCGCTCACTATGTCAGCCAAAACAGTATTAAAATTTTCCGGCTCTGAAGTATTACTCAGTGCATCAACCTTTGTAACGAGTAACATAAAATTATATAACATAGCAAAAATATTTAGATTTTGAACAACTACATTACTAGCCAAAGAAAGGAATTACATCATTTTCTAAACAATTGTTGAAAGTTAGGCAAATGTCCAGATAGTCCGGAGTTCATGACGAAAAAAGTAACATTATATGGCCTGATATTAATGTTTTATAAACAAATTTGACAGATTACTCACGACATTCCTGATATTTTGTACGGAATCTCGTATGCAGTTATACACAGGTAATTGCCATATTCCATCAGAAGAACATGCTCTAGTAATATGTCCTAGAAATGATGTAAATGATTATCATTATTGCTTTATGTGTAACTTTTATATGACACATGGACACATAGAAATTAACAGTGATTTCATGTTATTATGTTTAATATTATCTTTGTTATTTCTTTTATGTCATTTTGATTGGCATAATGTGTTAGATAAATACCTTAAATTTTTATATTAATTCTATTTTTCAAATCAATAATGTATTTTCAATTATTAAACACGGGAGTTGTGCGGTAACCGTCACTGCATGTTTCAATTATAAAAGAATAATGTTCTAAACAAAATAAACAAAATATCACTCATAAATTTTCATTTTGATTATAAGGAATCAAAATATATGTTATAAGATTTTCTAAATTTAACTTCTTGATAATTCTTACCACGGTAGTTATAGTTTTACCTATAAAATCTTCGCCACAAGAATTGTTCACTACTAAACCAACAGGTGTATTTTCCCAAATTGTGCCTCTGTTGTCAGTGTCTCTGGTGCATACCGCCACATCCTCAATTTTAACTAAACAGCCAAAATGTAATTTCAAATTTAATAGATTTTAAACACAGTCATAATATTTAAAAAATCATCTATATAAAATCTATATAGCACTATTTTGACAACTGTGAGAGGCACATTCATCGATATCTAAACACAATAAGAATAACAAACATCACTTAACTAAACGCTCAATCGCAAAGTATATGAATTTCTGGAAAAAAGGAAATCCCTCAGAATAACCTTGTACTTTCAATTAGCTGAAATATCAAGAATTTTTTTAACAACAACAAAAACAGCAACATTAAGCACTTCCTAAAAAGTGTGTCAAAATAAGTGTATCGATAAACTGCAGCAAAATTGTAATTTTAAGTCCTGTTTTTGTTTTCTTTTAGATGAATAATAGTCACTTAGATTTTTAATGTCTTGGTGAGAAAACGTTTACTTACTTGTCGCACAAAATTCCCCCGTATATCCGGCAACACACGTGCATGTATATTGATTAATCCCGTCAACACATGTAGCGCCATTCTCACACGCATGACCAAGACATTCATTTATGTCTATATATATAATAAAAATAATTACCATAAATATATTCAATAAGTTATCTTTTTGACAAATAGTATGTTAGTTCCTTCACTCTGAACCTTCAGCTGTGCACAAGTTAATAAATGATCATTATCTTCATAGAATATGAACATAGGTAACCAATGTTTCACTAAAGAAACGTATAAATTATATAGGTTAAGAAAACGTTTTGATATAGGTAACCAATATTTCACTAAAGAAACGTATTAATAATAAAGGTAACGAGTGTTTCAATAAGGAAACGTATTAATGAAATAGGTAACCAGTGTTTCACTAAGGAAACGTATTAATATAGGTAACCAGTGTTTCACTAAAGAAACGTTATAATAATATAGGCAGCACGTGTTTCACTAAGAAAACGTATAAATAATATAGGTAACAAGGGTTTCACTAAGGAAATGTATTTATAGTACAGGTAACCAGTGTTTCACGACGAGAACGTATTAATAATATAGGCAACCAATGTTTCACTAAGGAAACGTATAAATTATATAGGCTAAGAAAACGTATTGATATAGGTAACCAATATTTCACTAAGGATACGTATTAATATAGGTAACCAATGTTTCACTAAAGAAACGTATTAATAATAAAGGTAACAAGTGTTTTAATAAGGAAACGTATTAATGATATAGGTAACCAGTGTTTCACTAAGAAAACGTTTTAATGAAATAGGTAACCTGTGTTTCGCTAAGGAAACGTTATAATAATATAGGTAACACGTGTTTCACTAAGAAAACGTATAAATAATATAGGTGACAAGGGTTTCACTAAGGAAACGTATTTATAGTACAGGTAACCAGTGTTTCACGACGAAAACGTATTAATGATATAGGCAACCAGTGTTTCACTTAGGAAACGTATTTATAGTACAGGTAACCAGTGTTTCACGACGAAAACGTATTAATAATATTGGTAACCAGTGTTTCACTTAGGAAACTTATCAATATATATAACCAGTTGTCATGTGGTCGATATTCGTGTTTTTGAATATCGTTTTTATGTATCATTTTGTCCTTGTATTTGTATATATATCTCTTGTATTTGTCTGTTTACAGTCCGATATACAATCCATTATCCCATATCATTCTTATATCATTCCATTTCATCATCTCATTATAACAACTAATTTCTCATATTTCATTTTGACATAATTTGCATGCCGGGCCTCAGTTTTTACAAACTTCCCGGAAAATCCACCTCACGCATGCGCACTTGAATATAAATATTTCTATTGGTTTGCGCCAGAAATTGTTGTCTTGTTTATTTATTTATTTATGAAGGCGTATGTTTATGTCCTTACAGGTAATTGTTGTTATTCATTAAGTTTCATTATCATGCATATTTCCATTGATCGTTTATGTATTTCTGATCTGTATTTATGCACTTGAATATAAATATTTCTATTGGTTTGCGCCAGAAATTGTTGTCTTGTTTATTTATTTATTTATCAAGGCGTATGTTTATGTCCTTACAGGCATAAACAGACCATTCCTACATTTGAAAAAGGACCATACGACACAGTGTTTCACTAAAGACCTGTTTTAATAATATAGGTAACCAGTGTTTCACTAAGGAAACGTATAGACCTTTTTACGACGCGGTCCGATGCTATGAAAAATCGACCGGATATAGTATTTCCCCGCACATGCGCAATCTGTGTAGGGCAAAAAAGCATAGTCTAAGATAGAAATATAGAAGAAGTTCATAGACATTTCCGAGTTAGTTTAAGGTAAATGGTAGAAAATTATATAAAATAGCTTTAAACAAAAATACAAAAGATTCCTTTATAGCTTTGTTGCCAAGATTGCCATAAAAAGGCATGGAAAAGGAAATTGTTTAAGAATCCCCCCTTACAGTGGGCCCGCTTACGGTCACGGACCTGACACTAAGATTTTTTTTCAGAAAATGTGGAATTATTTCTTTTATTCAAATGGGAGTCAACTAAATTGTTGTTGAAATAGTTCATAAAAAAGTTAAAAGAAATTTTATAACATATGAAATCGAGGTTAATTAGCTTTCTGAAAATAGTCAGAACAGGCCCGGTGATAATGCATTGCTAGTGTTCAGTTCACCTGATTCTATCCTTTAATTGACTGTGCAAAACAGATAATTATTAAGTCACATAAATATTTTTTAAATAGTTAATTTCTTTTTTCGAAATCCTTAAGGAAAGTGAAATAACACTCATTTTATCCGGTTCCTCGTAACACATGTTAATATTTTTAATGCAAATCACACTCATTGTCACTTCACAAATCAATAAACATTGATGAATAAAAGTTACTTAAATAACGATTTTCATAATTGTACGTGATTAATTATGTCATGGTTCTAAAACGTCCCGCTTGAATGATATTTATACAATATCTGGCTGGAAACAAACAACCACGGTCGCGTGTCAATCTGTTTGACACTTACCGCCTGGCCAATCCTTAATGATCAACATTATTTTTTGTCCAATTACATTGTAGTATTTTTCAAATTTCTGCTTAGTCTAACTTTGGTTAATGTGTACTAAATAAATAAAATTTACTTAATCTGTCGTCTAACCAGTCTTAACAAATTTCAATAATGCATTATATTAGGGAGGAGTTAGAGGTGTGGTTTGCACTCTGAATTGTAAAATATCTAGGTTAGCAAAACAATGCCAACGTAAAAAAAAATAGGCGAGGTCAGGTGTTTCTAAATGTGAGGATACAATCAATTAATTTATTACAAAGATAATATATGTGGGGCACGCAGAGACAAATGATTACATAGTAACTTTTTTATATCCTTTTAACTCTAAAAAATGTCTGTTATAAATTGCTGACTGTTTTAAACTTTATTTTTTCTAGAAAAAGTAAACAAAACATTATTTTCTTAAACTTGATATGAATGAACTGCATTAACAATCCTTGATGTTAAGAATACAAGAATTACATTTTTGGCTGTAAATGGACCCCCTCCACCTGTAAACCTAAATTGACACAAAGAAAAATATGAACTGTTTTTGAAATGAGCAAATCAATAGGGATTTAAATGTTAGTGAATAACTTGAAGGTAATAACGAATGTGTATCAATAAATAATTTCTAACGTATTTTTCTTACATTTTACATTTATTTTATAAGGATGTACACATTTCATTAACTCCATTGTTTTTACCTAATTGCATCGTTTTCTTCGCTTTTTTTCAGATATTTTATAGAAACATGATAGTCTTTTACTGTAGATAAAGGTATAAATTCTGTGGCATTTCAGTAAAAAAATAATGTTGATCATTAAATAGGTTAATGTTTAATAATACGCATTAACAAAAATAATTGGTCACCTGCCTGCGGCAGGCTTGACCAATTATTTTTGTTAATACATATTATTAAACACTAACCTATACAAAGTGTACAATACACATTGTGTAATATTATGTAATACAGGGGTAATAAAATTTAAACTTTAACACCCTGCTGTTTAAATTTAAACTGTGGATTAAAAAGTCGTCTAATGATACTCGTACCTTAAAAAGACGTCTTTTGGATGCGCCATTTGACCTTTGGATTATTAGTCCTGCATATTTATTATATCTGTTATAAATATCAATTGACGTTTGAAGTACTTACCGCTTTCATGTTTTCTGGTTGATATAACATGGAATCACGACAATTAAAGCCTTAAAGTATCATACACTGTGGTCAATTTTATTGCGCTTTTGCCCTACGCAGAATGCGCATGTGCGAAATGCAACATCGGTTGCTATGGAAGAATCGTATTGTAAAAAGGTCTATACATAATATAGGTAAGCAGTGTTTCACTAAGAAAACGTATTAATTATATAGGTAACCAGTGTTTCAATAAAGAAACGTGTTAGTATAGGTAACCAGTGTTTTATTAAGGAAACGTATTAACAATATAGGTAACCAAACAAATGCCCGAAATTCCACATAAGAAAAAATATGAATTTAAGGAACCAGATATTTGCTCGAAGAATATAAAAATATAATATTAGTTAGAGAAATGTTTTTGTATGACTTGTATCATAGTGATATCATTATCGCTACAGGCACTTTTTTAATGTTACATATACTTACTGTTCTGACAAAATATTCCATTATAACCATTGACACAGTCGCATGTATAGTCGTCAATACCGTCAACACAAATAGCTCCATTTTGACACTGGTTACTTTCACATTCGTTTATATCTGTTTGTAATGATATGTAACATTGTTATTGTTGTGTTTATTCATGATTGAAAAAGTCTGGAAAAGGGGAGATTCCTATAAGCATTTAAACATTAAAATGTAAAATAAAAGAAAAAAGATTAGAGGGGAGATCCTGCAATAAAACTCTGAAAATTTAAAATAAAACAAAATCAACACTATGTTCCCTCTGACTGTACATCAAAACCACATTGAATCGCCTTGAAATATAGCATGCAGTATCCCTTGGCTTTAACCATAACTTTTATAGCAAAACATATGGACAATTAACATGTTTATTTCTCTGATTACTATGTATATCTTATCAGAGACTAAAGTACTGTTTACGCTAGTTAACTATACATATAAAAGATACAAATAGTATCTTACATATTCCTTAGAACGAAATCATCAAAGTAGACAAATCAATTTAGTTGTGTCCAAGACGTGTTCTGGTTCAAACTCTGAACTAACAAAATAATAGAATTGAATATTCAATGATACAGAGCCTAATCCGTCTGTACAGGTGGAAAAGGTATTAATATTACCACACTTGTAATTAAATGTAAGAAGTTTATACATGTTATAACTTCCTTTTTTTCTTACTTGAAGTACAGAAAGTGCCTTCCCAGCCTGCGGCACATACACATTCATAAGCATTAAGTCGGTCAACACATGTAGCTCCATTGTTACATGCATGTGATTCACACTCGTTGATATCTGAAACAGATGAATCATGCATTCGCTTAAATTAGTCTACAAAATCAACAAAATATGTAAATTTAATATGGAATGTGTTGATTTACAATCATTTTAATCACGGTATATTGGTATATAATGCTTACAAAGAGTTGCGATTATTAGCTTTTAATTAGAATGGCAAGCATAAAATATATTTCAGCAAAAGCGATTCAGACATATTATAATCGTTCTTATGGTTTAATTTTTATTACATTAATATTCATTCCCAATTTGCAAGTGTGATATAAACTAGATTTTACTTATTCAAATATCAATCTCAATGTTCTACTTAGGTGATTCACAAAAAAAATCAAAATCGGTTTGGAATAGAAGATTCTCATATCTAAATTTCATATCATTGACGAAAATTGACGATGTATCAGTATGATGTTTGAATTGTCTTAACTAATTCACAAAATGATTTTAAATTGGTAACTCACTGGTTTGGCAGTTTTTGTCAGTGTAACCTGCCACACAAACACAGGTATAGTCATTGACAGCATCTTGGCATGTACCACCATTCTGGCAAGGTGAAGTAGCACAATCATTTATATCTGAAATGTTACAAATGACATGCCTTTAAAGTTTAACAAAACAAAATACAAGCGTCGGAGAGCCTAAACCGCATATACAAAAACTTCACATATACTTTATCAAAAAAGTTAAAATCTGCCATAGAAATCTTACGAACGCATAAGAGAATAAACTTCACATTGGCATCAGAAAATGCAATGTACAAGCTTTATCATTGGTATAATGACGTATTTCGTTTGCTATTTTATGAAATGTCTTAACATATTCATGATTGGTTTTCGCATGATATTATTATAAATCGATTCTATAAGAGAATGATAAACTGTACACAAAACTTACACACATTTGGAATAAACTATAAGTCAATGTATTGCATACATCTTAAGTAATTTTTCAAATTTTAAACTACAAGCATACTTACTGGTAGCACATGTTTTGCCTGTGTAACCTGCGACACAATTACACGTGTAATCATTTATCTTGTCGACACATGTTCCTCCATTTGAACACGGATCACCAGCACATTCGTCTATATCTAAAATCATATTTCTATATTGAAGTTTTCATTGTTATCATTATGATCATCTTGTTCCAAAAACGCTCAATACGTATATCATATTTTAATGTTCTATTATTATAATTATTCTGACGACAGTTGATCTATGCATAAAAATATACAACTGATTGCTGTAGCTGAAGCAAGGCAACACTTCTTGCATGTAACCGTTACCGTATAATATTTAAATGCATTTTTAGAAGAAATGCCTCATAATCATTTAACCGTTACAATTTACTTGTCGATTCACCTTTAGTACAGTTTGTATAAATAACAAGAAAGGCAACACTTATTAAGGTTAAGGAAAATACACTATTAGTACATGTCCAAAAATGAGAAAGTGCTGAAAACAACAAAATGAACATGCGACATAAAATTGAAACAATTTGTTCCAATATATTTTAAACACTCATTATATATGCATTTTAATATCAACAAATATTTAATAAGTCTTTGATCCATTGACCTCGCTTTATCATTTTCTTTTACAGAGGCGGAAACTCAATTTCGTTTTATAAGAGAAAATTATGTTAACAATCAATCATCAAATACAGTAGGCATATTCTATCTTATACTGGTATCAATTTTACAAAGCTATATTACGCTCAAATTTGATATTTGAAAACATTGAAAATAATTGCTTTACTTTCTCTTTCAACATGTGTCGACTTCGTACAAAGTCAATATGTTATGTTTTACATTTTACACAGTAAAGGAGGCCACACTATAAATGTATAGTATCATTTAAATAGTCGCAGTTTTTTTAAGAAATGACTGACTTTACCTGTAACAGGAAAAGCAGCTTCCCATACATAGTTTGCACATTTTTTATTCAAATTAGACATATTCAATTTTCAATAACGTTCTGCGATAATTTTTTTTTACTCAAAGATTAGCATAGTATATCTTTAAAAGAAACATACAATATTTTTAAAGCATTATATAGAGTATTGTATTTCATTATATCCATGTGTCATTACTGTAAAGTAGTCGATATATTATTGGTATGCCCTCAGTCAAATTTTAAATGATATTTTAACAAACTCTTATATATTTTTTTATTCTTTTTACCATTTAGTGAAAGTCGTATTGTTTGTATATAAAACTATTGTAATAATTGTCTTCTCAACTGACTTGTTATGACATATTTGATCTCTTAACAAAATTGGACTGTATTTTATCATGTTTATATCAGTTTGAATATGACCTACCATGTTTTAATGTATATTCAGTTGCATTCTGTATTAACAAGGTAAATTCTGCCAATTAGACCACTTCATAAGCAAAGATAACCTCTAGACAAATAATATTATATAGATGCACACTTTTTTTTGAAAACTTATAGTTTTTACCTTTTAATAGTGAGCTTTTATAAAAGCTGTTACCTTTTAATAGTGAGCTTTTATTAGAGCTGTCACTATTGGCAGATTTTACAATTGATATTATGTGATGTTTTAATATGCATTTAATTTTAATGTGTACTGTATTTGCATATATATTTGTATATATTTTATATACACATACATATGCACATAACATAACAGAATATAGTTTTAATTGTAAAATATGTATAATGTCTTAAGTCTCTTGTAATTCTACTTAAAGAATGGCTATGTACAATGTAATGTTTATCTTGAATTTATATTGAAATATATGTAATTATACACAGATGAGACTAAAATAAAATAAATATATATATATTACATTATGTTTATTTATATATAATTTTAATTGTATCAATGTTGACGATGAATAAAATAATGAAGAAATTAATGAACATTTTTTCGTGTACAAAACCACATTAATGAAAACATTTTTTTCATGATAATACAGGACAAACATGTATTTTATAAAGTATTTCAACATGTGAGATACTGTCTCAAGAAAGTAGCATCTAGCACTAAATGATAAATCAATGTTATAAATGCAGCAAACTATACGGAAGAAAACGTATAAAATCACATCGGTTGTTTTGAGTATTTAAGATGATTCAAATACCCTTTCATTTTCATTTATTTCCAAAAATATTTAACACAATTACAGATGGGTTTAACATGGCACCCTCGAAAATGAAAGTAAATATTATATGTTTTAATAACAAAATATCATGCTCAGGCAAAACGAAAATAAGCATTAACTTTGTACTTTCATTTAGCTGAAATATCATGAAGAATTTTAGCAACAACAAAAACAGCAACATAAAGCACTTCCTAAAAAGTGTATCAAAATAAGTATATCGATAAACTGCAGCAAAATTGTAATTTTAAGTTCTATTTTGTTTTCTTTTAGATGAATAATAGTCACCTAGATTTTTAATGTCCTGGTGAGAAAACGTTAACTTACTTGTCGCACAAAATTCCCCCGTATATCCGGCAACACACGTGCATGTATATTGATTGATACCGTCAACACATGTAGCGCCATTCTCACACGCATGACCAACACATTCATTTATGTCTATATATATAATAAAAGTCATTACATAAAAATCATTACCATAAATATATGCAATAAGTCATCGTTTGACAAATAGTATGTCAGTTCCTTCACTCTGAACCTTCAGCTGTGCACAAGTTAATAACTGAGAATTATCTTTATAGAATATAATAAGCATAGGTAACCAATGTTTCACTAAGAAAACGTATAAATAATATATGCAACCTGTGTCTCACTAAGGAACGTATTAATAATATATAATAATATAGGAACCCGTGCTTCACTAAGAAAACGTATTAACATAGGTAATCAGTGTTTCACTAAGGATATGTATTAATATAGGTAAACATTGTTTCACTAAGGAAACGTATTAATAATATTGGTAACCAGTGTTTCACTAACGACAGGTATTAAAATAGAGGTAACCAGTGTTTCACTAAGGAAACGTATTAATAATATTGGTAACCAGTGTTTCACTAACGACAGGTATTAAAATATAGGTAACCAGTGTTTCACTAAGGAAACGTATTAATAATATTGGTAACCAGTGTTTCACTAACGACAGGTATTAAAATATAGGTAACCAGTGTTTCACTAAGGAAACGTACTAATATAGTTAACCAGTGTTTCATTAAAGAAACGAATTAATAATATAGGTAACCAGTGTTTCACTAAGGAAACGTATTTATTATATAGGTAACCAGTGTTTCACTAAGAAAATGTATTTATAATACAGGTAACCAGTGTTTCACTTAGGAAACGTATGAAAAATATTAGTAACCAGTGTTTCACTAAGAAAACGTATTATTAATATAGGGAACCAGTGCTTCACTAGGAAACGTATTAATACATGTAACAAGTGTTTCACTAAGGAAACGTATTGATAATATAGGTAACCAGTGTTTAACTAGGGAAACGTATGAATAATATAAGTAACCAATGTTTCACTAAGAAAACGTATTATTATAGGTAATCAGTGTTTCACTAATGGAACATATTAATATAGGTAACCAGTGTTTCACTAAGGAAACTTAATAATTCAGTGTTTCACCAAGGAAACGTATTAATGATATAGGTAACAAGTGATTTACTAAGGAAACGTATAAATAAATAGGTAACTAGTGTTTCACTAAGAAAACGTATTTAATTTAATAATGTAGGTTTTGTTTGTTTGTTTGTTTGTTTTGGGTTTTACGTCACATCGACACAGTATAAGTCATACCGCGACATTCCAGCTTTACTGGTGGAGGAAGACCTCAGGTGCCCTTCCGTGCATTATTTCAGGCACGAACGGGTACCTGCGTAGAACCACCGACGTTCCGTAAGCTAGCTGGATAGCTTCCTCACATGAAAGAATCTAAAGTCCCTGTCGGGATTCGAACCCACAGCGGTGAGGGGTAAGTGGTTTGAAGTCAACGACCTTAACCACTCGGCCACGGACGCCCCAATAATAATGTAGGTAACCAGTGTTTCAATAAAGAAACATATTAATATAGGTAACCAGTGTTTCATTAAGGAAACGTATTAATAACAAGAGCCATGTCAACATGGCCATACCCCGCCGAATATGTTTGCTCATTGGAAGAATGTGTATGTAGTAGAGCAGAATAATTCAATTTTAAGAGGTCTTTTGGTAATGAAAACTGATGGCTGAAGTGATCACTGATTTGAAACCTATGTGAATACTGATGGCTGAAAATAACAGAGGGCAATAACTGATAAATTAATGCAGGGTAGGTTACCATAATCGTGCACTGCACTCCTCCTCAGTAAAATCTATCCATCTATGAAGTTTCAAGTTGATACCTCAAATACTTTTTGAGATAAGCTCCCAACAAAATAGTATGAAAACGAACAAAGGGCAATAACTCAAAAAATTGTATAGAGAAGAGAGTTGTCATTCTTGTGCACAGCATTCCTCCTCAATAAGATCTATCCACCTATGACATTTCATGTTGACATCTCAAACACTTTTGAGTTATGCTCCACTCAGGTGAAAAATTAAGTATAAAAAATAACAAATGACAATAACTCAAAAATTATGAAAGGTACAGTTATTATTCTTATGCCTTGCACACTTCCTGAGTGAGATCTATGCACCTATGAAGTTTCATTTTGATATCTCAAAGGCTTTTTGAGTTATGCTCTTGACAAAAATTAATTTTAAAAAATAACAAAGAGCAGTAACTCAAAAATTATGCAGGGTGGAGTTAACATTCTTATGCACTGCACTCCTCCTTAATGAGGTCTATCCACCTATGTAGTTTCAAATTGATACCTCAAATACTTTTGAGATATGCTCCGGACAAAAATGTCGGACGGAAGGACAGAATGACGGATGGACGGACGAACGGAGGGACAGACTATTTCTAAATAATAAAGGTAACCCGTGTTTCTCACACAAAACAAACGCCCGAAATTCCACATAAGAAAAAAATGAATTTAAGGAACCAAACTTTTGCTCGTAGAATATACAATTAATGTTACATATACTTACTGTTCTGACAAAATATTCCATTATAACCATTGACACAGTCGCATGTATAGTCGTCAATACCGTCAACACAAATAGCTCCATTTTGACACTGATTACTTTCACATTCGTTTATATCTGTTTGTAATGACATGTTACATTGTTATTGTTGTGTTTATTCATAATTGAAAAGGTCTGAAAAAGGGGTGATTCTTATAAGAATTTAAACCTTAAAATGTAAAATAGAAGAAAAAATATTACAGGGGAGATCCTGCAATAAAACTCTGAAAATTTAAAATAAAACAAAATCAACACTATCCCTCAGACTGTAAACCCAAACCACTTTGAAACGCCTTTAAATATATCATGCAGTATCCCCTGGCTTTAACCATAACTTTTATAGCAAATAGTATGGACAATTAACCTGTTTATTTCTCAGATTACTTATGGTATATCTTATTAGAGACTAAAGTACTGTTTATGCTAGTTAACTATATATATAAAATATATTAATAGTAGCTTACATGTTCCTCAGAACGAAATCATCAAAGTAGAAAAATCAATTTAGTTGTGTCCAAGACGTGTTCTGGTTCGAACTCCGAACTGACAAATTAATAGAATTGAATATTCAATAATACAGAGCCTAATCCGATCGAAACACGTGCAGCGTGATCAGAGTCTGTACAGATGGAGAAGTTATTAATATTGCCACAAGTGTAATTAAATGTTTAAAATTTATACATGTTATAACTTCTTTTTTTTCTTACTTGAAGTACAGAAGGTGCCTTCCCAGCCTGCGGCACATACACATTCATAAGCATTAACTCGGTCAACACATGTAGCTCCATTGTTACATGCATGTGATTCACACTCGTTGATATCTGAAACATGCATTTTCCTAATTTTCATTTAACATTCCCATAAATAAGTCCAAAAAGTCAACAAAATATGTACAGACATTTTGTAAAAGTAATATGCTTTACTATGGAATATGCTGATTTACAGACATTTTACAAACATTTTAATCATGGTCTATTGACAAAGAGTTGCAATTTATCTTTTAATTAGGATGACAATCGGAAAACATGGCATAAAACTACATTTTGTATATTAAAGAACAGCTGATTCAGACTAACGGCTCGGGTGATATAAAATCTTAACAGGTAATATATCCACATATATCACTCCAAAACCAAAATAACATATAATATAAACTTGATTTTACTAATTCATGTATCAATTTTAATGTTCTACTAAGTTGATTCACAAATGTTCAAAATCGGTTTGGAATAGAAGATTCTAATATCTAAATTTCATATCATTAACAAAAATTGACGATGAATCAGTATCATATATATTTAAATTGTCTAAACTTATTCACAATTGCTTTTAAATTGGATACTCACTGGTTTGACAGTTTTTGTCAGTATAACCTGCCACACAAACACAGGTATAGTCATTGACAGCATCTTGGCATGTACCACCATTCTGGCAAGGTGATGTAGCACAGTCATCAATATCTGAAATGTTACAAATGACATGCTTTTAAATGTCTACCAAACAAAGTGCAAGCGTCGGATCACCGAAAACACATACACAAAAAATCACATTAACTATATCGAAAAAAGATATTGTTGAATGTTTCTCCTACAAAAGAACTTATTTTAACGGACACCTAAGAGAATAATGTTCACACTGACATCAGAGAATTCAATTCATCAAATAAATCGTAGCGCAAGAGTGTAATAAAGCCATTCAATAAAAGCGATATTACACTAGTGTAATAACACTTTGACGTGTCGTCATTTGCACTGGATATATAGAGGATATTTGTTTAGTTCAGTGTAAGATAGGAATATATTTCACCGAGTGAGCACCAAAAGGTATATTTCACGAGTGGTGCAGCCACGAGTGAAATATGAACTTTTGGTGTTCACAAGGTGAAATATATTTCGATCTTACACTATACTAAACAAATTTTCTTTTTATTACATGCAAAGAAACGTTTTAAAAAGACATTTAACCTAATACTGAATGAAAAGCGCGCCAAATAATAATACAACGCGACGTCATTTACGACGTCACGTCATTAAGTTGGTACCCAGTACTGTGCACGCTGGTATTTCACTGAAACAACGTAAGGGGCTTAAATTCAAAACAGTGAAATTATCAAAGTGGTAATTTCACTGTTTCAAACAGTGAAATTACCAATTTTATATCACTGATATATTTCTATAAACCACCGAAAAGCATGTAATAAAAACATAGCGTTAAAGTGCTCTAATGTTAGCGATACACCATGGCGTTTCGATGAAAAATTGCTCATTTCAACAGTTTACTGTTCTTATTTTATATATGCGATAAATAGAATATTATATTCGCGTAGATTCAATACTAAATTTATTGAACTCGTTGAATAAAACAATATTATGTTCGCCAGAGGCTCGCATAATATGATTCATTCAACTCGTTCAATAAATTTAGTATTAAACCTACAATCATTCAATATCCTCTATTTACTAGCTGCATATTTGGTATGCTGGCCTATTTCTTTTTCTATTTTACGAAACGTCTTTAGATATTCACTATTGGTTTGCATGATATTATTATAAATCGGTTCTAAAAGGGGATGGAAAACTGTACACAAAATAATACAAATTTGGAATAAACTATAACTCAATGTATTGCATACATCTTGAGTAATTTTTCATCATTTTTAAACTTCAAGCATACTAACTGGTAGGACATGTTTTGCCTGTATAACATGCGACACAATTACACGTGTAATCATTTATCTTGTCAACACAGGTTCCTCCATTTGTACAGGAATTTAAGAACATTTGTCTATAATTGAAAACATATTCTGTATTGAAGTTTTCATTGACTTCATCATGACCATCATGTTCCAAAAACACTCAATACGTAAATCATATTTTAAAACAAGAAATATTTTAATGTTCTATCATTAAAATAATGACCGACTACAATTGCTCAATGCATAACTGATCTCTGTATCTGCAGCAAGGTAGCTCTTCTTTCCTATCAAGTAACCGGTACTGTATATTATTCAAATGCATTTTTAGAACACACTCCTTGTTAGAAATGTCCCATAATCATTTAACCGTAACATTTTATTTGTTGATTCATCTTAAGGACGGTTTGTATAAATGACAAAAAAGGCCATACTTATTAAAGTAAAAGAATATACAATACTAGTTCATGATTCTGGGAAAATTGTTGAAAACATCAAAAAGAAAATGCCACGTTAAAAAGAAACATTTTGTTTCAAACACATTTTAAACATGCATTATATATGCATACTATTTTCAACAAATGTATAATAGGTCTTTAATCCATAGCTGACGCAGTCAAATCCATATTGCAAACATCACAAAAAAAATTCTTGTGAACATATGAAAACTGACGAGAGTCGTCAAATGTCTCTTAGCGTTTCTGTTTTTTCGAATATTGTGTTTGTTGTATATTCATACAATTTTTTAAAATAAAAAAGGTCAATCACTTACAATTTAACCACAACTTGTGTTTGGCTGTTTCTTACAGCATTGGTCATGATTATTATTTATTAGTATTTTAGTACTTAAATACACAAGTTAAAGTTACAAATTAAAATACATGTAATACATGTACATATATAATATATATACATAATATTACATTGACAAGAAATTGTCACGAAGTAAATTTTTAGTTCAAAGCAATTTATTTTACCGTTAATTATTTCTTGTTTATATTCATATCGTTATCACAATTCATTATTATCACATTATTCTTTTATAAGCTCTTTGTGCATTTTTTTTTCAAGTATATCAATACAACAATTTAACAAAGAATTAAACCAATATAACAAGTAATATACAAGAAAAGCAAGTAAACAATGTTTATACTTTATGCACGAAAATTGTGATATGAATAAGAAAGCTACATGTAAAATCAATACTACTTATTGTAAAATAACATTAATAAATGAACTAAATCACGACCACTTACTTTTGTCACAGAAATTGCCGTCGTACCCAGCCACACAGATACACGTGTATGTATTTATGCCATCAACACAAGTGGCGCCATTTTGACACGCATGTGACGCGCATTCATTGATGTCTACAAGAAAATTAATGTATTTAATACTTCAACAAGCATAAATATGTCTACAATGTAATTTAAACAGCATCTTTTTCTTAATCTAAATAGGGATGGATCTTGGAGGATGGTTGGATGAAACGATATGGTCCAAGACGTTAATGTCAATTCAAAATAGTTAAAAAAAATTACAATAAATAAATATATCGACTATTCAGCTTTGATTTGACACGACAATTTGCACTTGTTTGAAGAAAGTTTTCTGAGCATTTAAACTGTGGACGGTTTTTTCTTGTTCTATATACATTAAAAGCAACAATGTATTTTTATCATACATTCTAACAATAGCTAAATAAAAATGACATTTTATTTGTGATGCTAATCTAAAGATAACATAATAGAAAAAAATTCTTCAAGATAAACAAGTGTTTACTTTCCTAATATGATTCCAAAGTCAACTTACTGTTTTGACAGAAATTTCCGTCATACCCCGCCACACATGTACATGTGTACTGATTTATACCGTCGACACAAGTGGCTCCATTTTGACAGACATTCCCAATACACTCATTGATGTCTAAAAAGTAAACAAAAATATATCGTTTCCTTGTATAATAAAACATTGAATGTTGTATAATACAACACTGAAAGAAAATAACAGCATAAATACCAAGATTTGCGCAATTTAGTACACTTAAAGTTACTTTTCCACTATAATTTTTGTATTAAGCAAGTTTATGAATAAAATATGAAAACATAGAGATATTTTGGTTGAATAAATATAAAATTCACTCACTGGTTTGACAGTTGATTCCTTCATATCCGGCAACACAAGTACATGTGTATGCATTAATACCATCAACACAAGTAGCGCCATTTTGACATTGATTCGGTGTGCACTCGTCAATATCTGCAGATCAATTTGCAATGAAAATGACAATGTCATACAAATGATGTGAAATATCATTCTAAGTTTGAGTTAACACAATTTCTAATTTATTGCAGCATTTCTTCGTGAATACTGTACATCATGTGACATATTATTTCAAGCTAAGGGTGAAAACAGAAACAGCATCTTAAATGTAATACAGCATTTCGTCATATCTCCATATAGGTTTCAATGTCAGAAGCAAAGCTATAGGCAATTATCAGTCAATGACAAAACATCTTAGTAAACTTCAATTAGCAATTATGGCTGATAACACTAAAACAATATTTACACTATTTCAATACTAAAGGTATGAAATAAGTTTACGCTCTAAAATAACCAAAACAAAAATCACTTACCATTTTCACAATTGTCTCCATTATACCCGGGAAGACAAGTACAGGTGTATGCATTGATGCCATCTACACAAGTTCCACTATTTTGACATTGATTCGGAGTACACTCGTCGATATCTGAAAATAAAACAAGGAGTTGAAATAATCAACGAGATTGGAAGCGAATACATTGGTGAAAAATTTACATTGTTGGGGAATGTGCATTGTGTCAGAGTAGTATATTGATATTTTGTTTATAAAACTTAATATACGAATAAATAGTCTGATTTTAAAACTCACAAATCGGCTACATTTTGTATTACAATCTAAATACTACAGCATCTGTCAAGGGAAAAGGTTCTATGCTACTTACTTACTAACCTACACTTTCATACTCATTGTCAAATTAAATATTACACTGTTGTTTGTTTTGTCATGTACATTTTGCACTAACATTTCGTCTATCCTGCACAAAGCAGCCCTACTCAATACATAACACCATCTTAATTTTAGATGCATCTGGTATCTTATAAATACGTTCAAGTAATGTATTACCAGTACATGCTAATCCAGTTCCGTCATCTTCATACCCGGCATTACATTGGCAAGTTGAAAACGCCACACATCCTGCATTTGCTATGTTATTACACTGGAAAATGTTTGTTGAGCAGGCATCCCCTAATTCAGCTGATTCAGAAAGAGAAAAATTATTAGAAACTGATGCATAAAATGAAACTGAACGGTTATATGAAAATGAAATGAATAATTAAGAAAGCCGCCTTTAAAAAGTTAATGTTTGTACTCTTGGTTAAGTGGAAAGGTAACTCTTTATATTAAAAGTTGATTAATAATGCATGTATTAAACAAATGATCGTTGTATGTAATGACTGTAGGAGTGTGAGTAAAGTCGTAGGCACATTTAAGTGTGTACTATCCTACAAATTTGAGCCTTTGATATTTTTGAATACACATGATTATGTCCACGAATATCATAAGTATTAAATAGTAAAATCCGACAAGATGAACAGTCCTTGTTGTCAGAATATACTGTTGAATTAATAACTTTTGTGAGCAATGAAATTAAATTATGAAGAATCATTTAAATAGACGATCTGCACTCACCTGGTTCACATGTTGGTGCAGCACCATCCCAACCAGTGTCTTGCTGACAAGTTCTCGTTGCTGTACCAACAACTTCAAATGTAATAAAACACGTGTATGTAGCAACATCACCAGTGTGAGTACCGGCTGGGGTAGTAACTAAGCCATTGTCTGGGTCAGTCAGATTTCCACAATCTAGAGATAAATATAAATACTTTAATAAACATAATACCCGAAATTTAACGTTTGAAAAAAAAGAGTGATATGGAACATTTTGTGTGACATGCTTTACTTTCACTTTACTTTTCTTTTTTATTTTATGTTATCATTATAAATAGCAAAACAAGTTATTTTATTGTAAAAATCATGATGATAATAATCAGAAAAAAATCCCAAACATTTTCACAATCGAGCAATTAATAAAATAAAGATTTCATTACATTTTAATCATATTGCAATTTGTTTTCGTCTATATAAAATAAATTAATGTTAGCTGTATGATTTTGCCAAAATATGTTGCATACATATCTTTAAACAAAACTTCTTTTACAAAGTATTCTTTCGTCACGAAATAAAAAAATCTTACTATATTCGCAAGCAACGTTGGGGAGTGTTGCTGTATACCCTGCAGGGCATTCACATAGCATGGATCCTAAATTACAATACGAGTTAGGAAGGAAATTTGGGCAATTCGCTTGTGTTGCCACAGTACATCCTGAAATAATTAAAACAAAATTCATCATCAATGAAAAAAAGGAATACCGAAATATTGAGAATATCAAAAACATTCATTTGTAGTCATTGGAAAACAACATCGATGATCTTATTCTGGACAAATGGAGCAGAAGAACAAGGATATATTAATTTAAAAGAATATCACTTAACGTACGCTCATAACTCGTTATTTACAATATGTTTTCATAATGATCTTAAAAAGATTCCAAAATCAAGGTAAGAAATTACATGTTCTTATTTTGAACATTGAAAATGAAATAATAAGAGGAATGGCTACTATTTACTTTTTAATGTACGTGTACTACTGTAATATTTCAGTTTTTAAACTCACTAATGTGAGTAAATCAATTAATCAATCATTCAATCAACTATGCAAAAGTCAAAGTGCTTACATCTAAAATATTTTATCTTAAATTATCTATCTTAATTAAACATTGTAACTGAGCACTTTTTATTACAGTGACAATGTTTTGCCGATGTATTCCTGGAATGTCATGTGGCGTTCGTATTGCAATACTGCTGTATCTGAACAATAGCACATAACGTTAAATGATCTGTAGTCTGTTTAACCATTGAAGGCCACAGCATGAGGTCTCTGGTCCTCCTTATACCCTTTTCACATTTTTTTTGCAAACCTTAAACAATTGTCTAAAAATGACATCAAACGAATAACAATTTCTACTTACTTAACCTTTACACTCATATAACAAAACTAAAATCTAACACGTGGTCATCCCTCGAATAATTTCCTAAGTTGATGTGTCAAAAAATATAATATCTCGAATTACATATACTTTGTAAATATACTTCGAAAAAAATATTTAGGTAAACAATAATATATATTCTTATCTCTTAGATAAAATGTAATCCTTTTAAAACTTGTACTGTTTGTATCACCTGTGTGACCACTACGCATCTGTTTTGCAATTATTTTAGTGTTTAATTACAATTCATGAATGCAAACCATGTGTAAAAAGCAAGTATTATTATGTAATCAAAGGTTCATATTATTAAAAAGATATAGTACTCTCATTGTGAGCTCGCCCGGATTAACTTATAAAAGAGAGGTTTAACTTTCAGTCATATACATGTATATTGTAGCAGAAGCTTTACCATATAAACAATAAGTAAGACACGCATTTGGACGTACCCGTCACCCCGATCTGCCCCTTTACGTCTGCAATAAAATATCCCAGTATTAATAACAGAATCAGTGTCTTCATTTTCAGAATCACCTCTAGTGTCATTCCATTCCTTTGAAACACTAGCGAATTCGCACTATATATAACAATTGATTTAATAATCAAATATTGTTTAATGTATATGTAATCAATTTGTCTCGATTGAGGACAAAATAAATTGATTGTATATTTGTTAAGATATTGACATAATGTCTAGCTGTTATTGGTTTTGATCCATTTTGACAATAGATTAAATGATTCACACATCTTTAGTTATAATCAAGAAAAACAATAGAGGATATTTAACAGTATGCATGGTTCAAATATCATTGCCAAACTAGTGTTAAACTTGACAGCATTTGTAATCTTTTTCAATTAAATATGCAAAGATATTTTTACGGTTAAAAACGTTCAGACTTAAGTAGGTACCCTTGTCATACTATATACTAATCATTTCAATTTGTGATGAAAGTAACAAAACACAAATGAACAAAGTATTACAATTCACTTTAAACAGTTCAATCTTGATTAAATAGAATTAACACTCTTGTTGATGCATAAATTGATGTTGACAATTTCAGAAACAAAGATCAATAATTTAGGAATCTACTGCGCGGCGACAACAACAACTACATTAACAATTTTATCTTTTTATTTCAGTTTTTTATACAAACTGAATGCCAAAATATATAAGAACGCTCAAAGAAATTTTAATAAAAGAATAAAAGGAAAAGGACATTGTAAACATATATAATGAAAATGATCTCTAACTTGTGTCTAGGTAAATCATTTTAGTGTAATAATTCTAGAAATGGGAATATAACATAAATGCTTACAAATAGCAAACTTGGCTTAATCAGTTATGGTTATGTGAGCCATTAAAAATTGCAACATGTCTAACGTCCTATAGTACTGTTTCGAGAAGAAATCAACTCTCAACACCAGAACCATAATGTATTTGAATCTTAGTTCCTTTTCAGCAGTCATGTTACACTTTGAATAACTGTTTTAACAATGATGTCGGTGTGAAAAATACTTAGAAGCAATGTAACAAAAATTGATAGAGAGATCTCCCCCTGATATAACGTACAAGAGGCCATTACTTCTTTCTGTCTTTTTATTGCCGAATTAACAACTTTTTCTGATTCACTTACATTGTATTCGATTCCTTGTGTAGCAGCTTACGTAATTATACACTGGTTATTGCCAGGTTTCATCGAACAGACTTTCTCTTTTGATGTTTCCTATCATTGCAATATATCTATTTGTTTAAAATATGCATGTTAACTATTTTGATTTTTGTTTTCCTGTTTAAATCAATGAAAAGTGAGAGCAAAATAATAGTTGAATAATTACTTTCGGCATCCATCGAATCATTCGCATTTATTCAAAGCTGGAAAGGATATTATTTTTATCTCTCTCCGTGTGGTTAATCAGCTAAAGTTGTGTGTGTTACTCTTGTTCACCACCTCTCTAGAAACAGTATACTTCCAAACTGTTCCCCGGCTGTCGGTATTTTTAAGACATTATCAAACATCATGAATATGAACGTCGAATATACCTTACCAAGCATTTATACTAAACGAACTGTAGTCTCGTATGAAACGGCCCTATACGTTGATAGGCTACACATAAAATGCAGCCTATATTAAGTCTAACTACAAAAAATACAACAACAACAACAACTACAAAAATCCATATAACACACACACACACACACACACACACACACACACACACACACACACACACACACACACACACACACACACACACACACACACACACACTCACACAGATGCACAGGCATTCGTACACGCACACAAATATATTAAACAGTGTAGGAGCTAGTGTAAAATATTAGCGTGATTAAATTCATAGAACTGGTCATTGAAATTTGTTTTCTCCCGTTCTTTGAATATGCATGAGAACATAATTATTGTCCAAATGAATATTTTTTACAATGATTAAAGTATGAACTATTTGTTTGGATTCCGAAAATCAAATCACACGTACAACATACTTGCGAATTTGCATCCTCACCTTTACAGACATTAAGGTTAAATTTGTTAAATAACAGTTCTTATAGATAAGGTGTCAAAAACGAAGTAATGTATATAATTTGATGATTCATGAATGAAAATACTTTATAATATGTATGTTTTTGTAATATAATTGACTTTATCAAACATTAGTTGATACATTTATATAAGTCATTAAGCAATTTATTCCAACTGTGAAATAATCTCAAATGCAGACGAATTTATTCGCTTTATATAGCACATTAAATGATCCCATATTCATCGAGATATGTTAATGATTTTTGCACTTTTTGACAGAGGATTAAATGCTTAACACATTAACCACATTACAATAAAACATGCTATATAAATGGTAAACATTATAAAGTGTATCCCCTTGTCACTACATACTGTATATCTTGAAACTGGTTTGAAACTGGTTTATTTGGTTAAAGGCCTTTACAATAGCAATTGTGCTAGATTATTGCATAGCAAGTTGTACTGAATCACCGTTGTTGTTAAAGCACATAATCAAATTAAAACAATGAGTAGAAGTTATTGAAAAAATGAGTTTTTAGTTTATGTTTAAACACATCTAAAGACCGAGACTGTCATATATCTATTGGTAATTGGTTCCATAATTTCAGTCCCACCGTACCAAAACTCCTGTCACTGAATGTTTTTCTTCGATTGAAAGGCACTTCGTAAACATTGTTTACTAAATCAGCTGATCTGAGCCCTTGTCGCTTTGGTACCTGCCGACTTAAAAGTTCAGCCAGGTAAAGCGGTGCGCTGCCTACAGACCACTGGTACATGAATGATAGAATATTCTGATTTATTTTGGCTTTAATAGGTAACCAATGCAAATCGTACATTGCCTGTTTAAAACTATCAATTTTCCGACGTTTTAAAACCAACTTTGCACACATGCTGAATCTTTTGGAGTTTGTAAATGTCTTTATCGGAAATACCATACAAAATCACATTGCAGTAATCAAGATGTGAGATCACTAGACTTAAAACAAGAGTTTGTGTTGCTTCTTTGGTGAGGTAGTTGCGTATATTCTTAATTCTAAAAATGTTGAGCATGGCTGTTCTACATTTTGTTTTTACATGTTCTTAAAGTTTAATGTTTCATCGAGTTAGGCTCCTAGGTAACGAAAACATTTTACATGACTGACTGCCACCGGCCATGTCAATGTCAGTTGTCTGACATTTGTGAAGTTGCTGTTTATTTCCAAACATGATTAACTCGGCTTTCAAAGCGTTCATTTTTAGCTTTTTCTGGTTCATCCAGTCGTTTATGGTGATTGCACAATTCTCTATGTCTTGGATTGCTTTAGTTTCACTGTTTTGAGTTATGAACCTGAACGTTTCGTGATCATCTGCGAACCCATAGACCAAAATTGAGGGCGGTATGACGTCAAAAAGTGTCCCTGCATATGCAATATATAGCCATGGTCCTAGGCAGCTTTCCTGTTGCACATTGCACTCCTACGGACGAGGATTTAACAAAGATGAATTAACGCTAACTACACAAGTGCGTTCACTTAAGTAGGAATCAAGCCAATACAGCGCCTTGTCACTAGCACTACATTGTTGTTTGACGACATCAAGTAGTATTTCATGATCAACAGTGTCAAAGGCTGTATTTATGTCCATAGCAATAGGTGCTGTCACATCTTGATGTTCTATAGCAGAGAGTAGGTCATTTACCAATCTAAGTAACACCGAATCACATGAATGAATTTGTCTGTATGCAGATTGATTCTTTGGCAAGAGCTTATGATGATTAAGTCTAAAATGTACTGATTTTTCTGTTAGCTTTGAAAGAAAACTCAAAGACGGCACTGGCCTATAATTGCTATATGTAAGTTCTAGCACATTTCTTCAAAAAAGGTCTGACTATAGTCTGTTTCAATCTTGATGGACCTTGTTTCAACGATGGATTTATCAGTTTAGTAATAGTTGGAAGGAAGTAAATGTGTTAGATATTGTTTGAGAACATGTGTAGGCAATATATCTAACTCACAAGACTTAGTGTTAAATTCACCTATCAGTAGTTTGACTTCGTCTTGTTAAGGCTCCTTAAACTCGTCAAGGACTGGGACGTTTTAATTAAGTGGTTTGTATTTGTTAAACTCATGAAGGGAGTCTCTAAATTTAGAGATTTTATTCATAAAGTAATCAGCAAAGTTGTCCGAAAGAGTGCTGTCACTTATTCCACTAGGCATAGGATTTTCAGATTTTGTTCCTGTCAGTTCAGAAATAAAGAGCTTTTTTTGAACCACCTTTAGAGTAAGACACTATTTCACTGAGCGTTAACGTTTTTTTTCGCGTTCGATGGCATGGATGTACTTGTTACGTAAATTCTTATAGGTTTGTTACTGTTCAGGTTCTTTGTATTTCGTCCATAAACTCTCCGCTTTTCGAAGTTCACGTTTGAGGTCAACAATGTTATAATTTAACCAAGGTTTAGATGCTGGAAATATTTTTATCTTTTCAAATAAGGATACATGTTCATTAAGAATATGTTCAAAAATTGCAGACTCGGTTTGATTGAGTCTGTACATGAGGGATAATAAATACGTGCAACATCCCTCATACCCCCTAGCACCGGCTTGAGTGGTATTCAATTCACAACACTTAATAGTGCTGGCATCAATGATCCCGAAGACCCAGAAAAATATAACAACACAAAAGTAGAAAACGGGCAACTTTTTACAGCTGCCACACAGCACTTAATACCTATTGTTGTGAAGTATAAACATCTGCAAACAAAGTGATCCATTGGAAGCATTCATCCCAACACAATTACAAGATAATTGCAGACTCGGTTTGATTGAGTCTGTACATTGAGTCTAAATCAAGTTTTGTCTCGAACCAGTTAACGTAAATATTGACATCATCAGTGTTAATATTGATGTTTTCGAATTCTTGTACAAGAGCAGGATCATTAACGTCTCTCCAAGATCGGGTTTTGAATATTTTACTGAGGATATTTTCGTTCTTTACATTCAATGTAAATTTAACAACACAATGGTCTGAAACTAAAGTTCCTGGTTCACATAAAAGTACTTCCACGCCGTTAGATG